CCCTTCTTCACTTTCTAGCAAGATGAGTGTGGATAACATACACACTCATCTTGAGGGAAGTCTTAAATATATATTAATCACGTTTATATTGTGTATATTATTAAAGTTAGTTTAGTTAGCTTACCATTTTATCCCTTATTTGTTAGCAGGTTGTCATTTTGTTATACATGTATATAAATAGGGTAAATAGCTACTGTAAAGATAACTTTTATTAAGATTGAAATTCATGGGATATTTCCAATTCTTCTTCTATCGTTGACACTTATCATATATATTAGAAGAAGAATATTTGTATGCTCCTTTTCATTTTTTAATTTAAAAATTTGTAGGTCTTATCTTCTTGATTGTTTGTAAAAATCCTAACTAATTTGTCAAATGTCTTTTTTCATAAAAAAAAAACACCTTTTACTATATTCCATATACATTTTAATGTAAAAATTTTATTTTAAATGAATAATAACATTTTGAAAAATACCCGTTAAGATTGATTAAATCGAAAATTAGTGGCATGATAAGTTTAATTCTTGGCTTGACTTTATACACGCTGCAATTTGTCAGTGAAGAAAGTCGTCCCCGCAGAAATAAAACTGTCTTCAACCCACCCCGCAATCATACAATTTTTAATTTTGTGTCAATAATTGGTTAACTTAAAAATTTTAAAATAAAAAAGCGTAACAATGATATAGTGCTTCGCATGAAAATCTCTCCCACCTAATTAGATAAGACCTGCTTTCCTTGACTTGAGTTGGTTTTAAATTAAATTCGTTCTAATATCACTTTATCAAGAAAAAATTACTTTCTTTTTAACAAGTTAGTTTGATTAGGTATGTAACGTTCATACTTATAAATTTTTAGCTTATAATTAAAGTATTAACTTTAAATTTTCATCAATCTTAGTCTTGGTGTAAATCAGGTTTTAGTCATGAATTTCATGAATTTTACTTAAGAATTTAATTATACTTCTTATTATGTCATCTTTTAGTATTAAAGTGTTTATCCTATTTATGAACACTATGATTAAACGAGCAAATTATTTCATAAAAAAAACCTCACTCTTTGCGAACATAGTAATATATTTTTTTGAAAGATGCAAACATATTAAAGGTAGATGTTTATTTTTATAAAGGTCTTTTTATTTTTAGAGAAAACAGTTTAAAACTTAGATTTGAGAAAAACTTTGATGCTTTTAACTATTTTTTGAAGATTCTAGAAATTTGGAAATAAAAATTGGGGACAATTATATTAATTACTTTGGGGCTCCGGCATCAATTTGGCTTGGCCATTGATTTTAAACAAAATATCTAAAATTTTAAATATAACAAAATGTATAATATATATTAATGTTATACTATCATTAATTAATTGTTTTTAATCAATTATATTATTATTTTTTTTATCTCTTACTTGAACTTTATAACGATATTTCAAAAAGTAAAACCTAAATAGTAAAACAAGTAACAAAAGAGTAATCAAATGGGGCCTAAACCAAAATAAAGGCATTGTTGGTCTCAGCAGATGGTCAAAAACCTCTATAAACAAAATATGGTAATGTTGTGAATAAATTGATACTAATAAGACAGAAGGTAGAACAAGCTAAATTTCCAACCACAGGGGCGGAGCCTCCTTCACATTTGGCCTCTCAAAATTTAAAATTTTTTTTTATATTATGTAAATTTTTAAAATTTTTTATATATTTCTTTAATGATCCTCTCAAAATAATTTATTTATTTAATAATTAAAATAAACAAAGAATAAACAAATGATTTCGCATGCCTCAATTTTGAAGTTTTTTTTTCTCTCAATTTGTATTATTATTTATTTATTTTTATTTTATTTGTTTTTATGTTTTAGATTTCTATAAATTTCTTCTCTAAATATTTACGAACTGTCAGCCATATTCTTTTCTTCTTTGTGCCATATGTGAATTCTATCTTCTACTTGCAATATTCTTTTTTTTCTGTATATAAATTTTATTTTTATGATTTTAATTTTTAAAAATTAATAAATTATTATATAATTCTCAAATATAAGTTACTTAAAATTTTATCAATATATTATTTTTTTATTAATCCCAATTATGTAAAAGAAAATTATCTTGATTATGTAATCTTTAAACAATCTTGACCATATAAGAGGAAATTATCAATCCTGTACATTGTATTTAATTATTTATGTTTTATGTATTATAATTTTATATTTAGTATTATAAGTTTAAATAAAAATAAAATAAGAATATTGGAAGTTCACTGCCTTAATTATTTTTCAAGTTTGATTAAAATATAAATAAGTTAAAAACTTTGACAAATTCTTTAAAAGAGAAGAAGTAAATCATCCAAATGATTGTCCTATACTTGAGTTATCAAGTTTCTTCAACATATTAATAGGAGCAACGTGAATAAAAATATCCAAAAACTCAATATTAACAAAATGGATTTTTTTTAATACATAATTAATAATTAATAAATTTAAATCCAAAAAATAAAATTGAGCACAACTTTCAGACTATTGTAAATATATTTGTTTTATTTACATATTATACAAAATTATTTTTTATTATTAATTTTTTTATTATTGATTAAGTTCAAAATATTAATTTTTAAAATTTTAATCTTTATTTTTCTATTTTTGACCACCTCAGCAAAAGTTGAGTAACTCCTTCCCTGTCCAATCATACTAGGTACTCTCTCTAGTGTCCAAGTAATTGATAGCCGCTCCTATTTTCCTCTAGAACAACAAATTTGAATGGGAGGTATGACCCATTCACCCTAGTCAATTTTCAATTGTGGTACACCAAAAACAGTTAGTCAAGAATTTGGACGATAGGGAACATTCTGTCTAAACAAATTTGACCCACTACTCTATTTTAATACCGACTAAGTCTCAAATGACTGCCCGAATGGAAATCAATATTTCCCGTATATACATCCATTCCTCCCAGTGGCTTGCAGATGGTACTGATTCTGAACTTATTCTAGAAGTTGTAGACGCTCAAGTTTACAACAATAACCCACCAATTCCATTAACTTCTTCCCTAAACCTGGCAATTTCTTATTGGATTTTCGAAATTCATTTTCTGACCTGCCTGTGTCTTGCATCTCGATCACAGAAATATTCATTGAACGCGGGCTGCATTCAGAATAGAGGTCCAGATTGATGAAATTACCTTGGTGACGATCCACCGCTTACCCTCGAAGCCTTACACAGGCAGGTTTTGTCAGGATGTGAATATCTCCCTTTTTACAGAAGACGAGAGGGTGGCACGTGATATTTGCATACGATCACAAAAATTCACAAAAACTGCTCACATCACCATGCTCTCCAACTTCCAAAAACGGTCTCCCGTCTTTTTCTCTTCTCTTAGCTCTCTTTGAGCTATAAATATCACTATTTTCTTCCTCACCCGCCTTGCCTTACCGTTTCATTTACGTTGACATTTTTATATTCCAAAGCCATAAATTGTTGCAAATTCTGGAGCATCAAGAAAATGAAAAGGCAAGGAAGTAATTTAGATGGTGCCACCACGCTGCAGGCTGGAAAAAATGAAGGCAAAAAGAAGAGCAAGAGAGCTGTAGAAGCCAAGGAAGAAGACGGGAAGAAGAATGAAGGAGAAGCAGCAGTGTTTACGTTGGAGAATTTATTGGGGTGGGAGGAATGGCCGTGGTTAAGAGGTGCTCCGGATGAGCAAATGTCATGGGGTTCGGTCTGGTCGCCTTTGTGGGATGTTGATTTTGTTGACAAGGCTTATGGTTCATTGTTCAGTGATGTTGCTTGGGATGATGATATTTGGAACTTGAAGACAGTCATGGAGATACCAAAGCCATGAGAGAGAGAAAAAAAAGAGAAATAGACCAAGAGAGAGTTTGGCAATTTTTCACTTATAAAATTAACAAATAGGAGTTCGATGTCTTTGGTTGTTGTCTTAAGATATTTCTAATTTGGGCTGGAAACAGTGCAGCTGTTTGTCAGCTTCTTGATAAGATTGCTTTGTTAGCAGATACAAATTAGTAAACCAGAATCAGCTGCAATATTGGCTAAACCTGGTGACAGATAGACAGAAGTGAGAGAGAACTGAAGCCTGCCTTAACAGATGGAGATCACAACCGTATTCACCTTGGTGTTCACATTGTCCAATTATATGAGTTGCTATTAACCTTGTTTCCCTTTCTCGTTTTAATCTTTACTATACGACTGTAATCAGAGCTGTAGATGCGAGACTGATAATAGGTTGTTGCCAATTAAGAAATGTTACACAGCAGTTCTTTCAATTATCAAAAGAAATGGTACCCGCTTTGTTGGGTCTTTTGTTTCGGCTTTAAGCCGGTTTTGTTGTGCCTTAAAAAAGGCTGTTGTAGCCCACATCTGATACTCTTTAATTAGGATTAGGACTTTCAGCTCACATAGAAGAATTTCGGGGTTCAGTGTTTAGACCTCTACAATTTTCTTTTTCTGCTTATTGGATGAGAAAAGATATCATTTATGGAATAGTAATTTTTTTATTTAATTTATGGAAAAGTAAATAAGAACAAAACCTGTTCAAAATCTGCAATATATAGCGTTAAATTAACTTAAAAAAGCAAAACAAAACTGACAGATTCCAAGAGCCAAAGGGCTGAGTCAAAATAACAAGAAAACAACAATGAGACGTGCCAAAAATTTAGGCCCCAGAGGCCCGTGAGCAATCCTTGACCAATCACTAAGTTTTGCCCATTAAGATGAAGAACACAACTTTTACATATAGAGAATTTGGCATGGCTTCCTATACTAATTTCCCACAACAGATGATAAATGAATCCAAACCTAGTGGGAAAAAGATGGCAGTAGAAAAAGATTAACCTCTTCGATTGGGAATGCCAGGACTCTTTACCATTCCATCAAACAATCAAGAGATCACAATAAAAGCATCACAAATTTCACTTTCAATTCAAATTGGCACTGTTCAGTACATAATCAGAGAATCAAACGAAAATCCAGAAAACTGAGAAAAAAGAATCAAACTGGTGAAGCCAAAGAAAAATGAAACGATCAACAAATTGAAACCCACAGAGCAGGAAGCATTTTAAATTTAAAAGCCTGGAAGCTTGTAGGCAATGAAACTGATGCACTGCACTTGGCGCCTGTTGTCAAATCCGATGATTCGAATGAATGATTTGGGGTAAAGCCTTCTTGGCCTCTTCCAGCTCCTTCAAGACTTGCGTTGCATCTGTGCAACCGAACATGGGGAGCTTCCACATTGTCCAGTAGCGCCCATCGTAGTATCCAGGGGATCTGTGGTTCTCACGGTAAACAAATCCGTGCTGCACAAGAAGAAATGGTCAATTCCTGACATTGTAATATGAGAAGAAAAAAGGAACTTAATCAGTCCAAATTCTAACAGGATTGGCTAGGAATTGCAAACATTTTTTTGGATAAACCTTTTAGGAAACTTTTGGAGGACTAAATGCTAAAAGCTAAATAACAGATGGAATAGTTTGTGATTCAATCTGGCTAAATTGACTACTCTTACAGTGCTCCTGCGCTCCAATTTTTCCTTTTAAGTTTATAAGTACTTAAGCCATTAACACTATTTTAATGATAAATTAAGGGGAAACTGACAAGGTATCCGCAAGGAACTGGAGGAAAGAGAATTCTAATAATAATTTTTCCTTCTGCTGGCTTTGTCCCGACACAATAATTTAATCTCCTCTCCAACTCAAACTGTACTTAAATTAAAACGCTTCTTGCATTAATTTGATGTTTCTGAAACCAAAGGTCACTGCGCCTAAAAATGTGTTCAATTTCAAAACTCTGTAGAAAAACATCATGCCCTGAACAATATGCTGCCAAATCAAGCACAAAAGGAATCAAAGAATTCCCAATTAGTGTAACCTCATTTTCATGCTTACATAATATGTTTTACCCTTTCCTTGTACCTCATACCTTGTCTCATCACAGTGAGAGACTATAATAGCCATAAGAAAGAAAAAGTGGAAAGGGACTAATATGGTACCTCCAATTCAAATTCCAAGCAAGGAATCTATTTGCTGCGAAGAAGGTATTCAACTTCCTTTGCCAACTGTTCTGGATAGAGATCAGGGAGGTAAGACAGAGTCTCAAACTTCTTCTTTCCAAGCGGAGGCCATACCTGCACTCAATAGAATTTTTTTTTCTTGGTCAAAAATTTTCAGTTTAATTGGCTTTATGCCTATAAAGTTCCCTCTTCACAACATGTAGTTGAAAACTCAATGTTTTATTAGCCCAGCAGTTGGTCTCGTATCATTTGCTTGAGTTAGGAGATATTGGATTTAATTGCTACTAGAAGCAAAGAAATCGCTCCGTCCTTCGGTTGTTATATGACATGTAATCACTACCAGAAAAACAATTTCAAGCCACAGGTTATTCCTCCGAATTACCTGCCTGCACTGGACTCTTCCACCATTGCTGGCTATAGAGGTAATGCCAATTGTTGAGTTTACGGGTCACTGGGAAGGCTGAGGTTGATTTAAGGCCAGTGAAAGGTGCAACCACGCTGGCTTGAGCGGGGGTGGCACGGTTAACGGAGGCCACTGCCGCAGATGAGACCATGGAAGATGCCATGCCTCTTCCTTCCTTGGCTAGCTAGCTATCACAAAGTTTGTGTGATCAGTTTAAGAGGTCTTCGCACAGCTGCTTGATTCACTATATATAGGCAAAGAATCTTAAGTTTACTTCTCTATTTGCTTATGTTAAAACGTTGTGCATCTGGCGGTCTAGTTCATGCAGTAAATATTGGAAATATCATGGTCCTTAGATCATGGAAGGTGTGACATTACAGCTTGATGGCCACATAATACAGAGGGTTTTGGATTCCAAGCCTTATGGTTAAGCACTCGGCTGGTTGTGATACACGGCAAACGCCTGTTATCTTAATCTCATCCGAGGAACCAGGGCTTGAATTTGTGATGACCGTTTGACTATATCTTGTCAAGTCTTTTATTGGCCCTTCATTTCTTTGTTGTTGGCTGCACATCATATGTGGGGTGGTAGTTGGTACCTGCTGGCTGGAAGCGGTTGTTCTTGTGATCAGGTTTCACAATTAGCAAATTATCTTGCAGAAATATTTACCGCAAATGACTTTAATCTACTATTCTTCATTCTGGTCCATGGATTTTGAGCTCGAATTTCCATTCCCATCAATTCAAGCTGACGATTAGATGTTAGTTATTATCTAAACAAGATTAGTAAAGCAGTACGCTGCATTAATTAGTGAAGCAGTATTGCTATTTGCAACAGCAGATGGCGGAATCTTTTAGAATTTAAACATGGACGGTTGATATTAAAATAAAGAGAAAGGATGAAAATATCTATTGTGATTTTATGCTATAGAAACTATGGCCAATAAATTTACTTATCATATTTATTAATTCAATTTAGGAATTTTCTACAAACCTTTTGAACTAAACATACTTTTTGAGTTGATATGTTTCCTCTTCATGTCAAGGGCAACATCCTGCATCAGATTGTAGTTCAGTACTAACTGTGATTTCAGAAGGGTTTTTTCATAACCGGTAAGATTTATCAGACGAGTCACGAAATAAAAGCTGCACCAGGATTGTCTACCTATACCCTCTAAATTAACCTTTTGTTACATGAGCTGGACAGGAAAAATGAGCTTGATCCTTTTAGTCTACCGTAAAGCTGCATTCTGTTAATTTGATTAATGTCTTTTACTCAGATGGCTTTACAAAAAGAAGCATCGCCTGCTCATTGCCTGCCATCCTCTAAGAAAGCTTATAATTCTAAGGAAATCTTTTGACAAGGGAAAGTGAGAAAAAGCTTGTAATCATATACCTTGATGGTGGTGGAAATTCTTTGTGTAATCATGATTATTTTTCTGCCCATTGAAATCAATCGCATTTCTTGCCACGTACTCAAGAGTCAAGGTCATGATTAGTCAGTGATTTGCCTGTAAGCCATCTTATTTGCGATTTCCCTTAATGCTTGCAGTTTGAAGATTTCTATGATTATGCAATAAGATTCTTCTGAAAGATGAATGCCCCCGTTCAAATTAGCATCCGGTTAAGCGGACAGATAGTAGAGAGTGTAAAGGAGGGGCCTTCCCTAGGCAGGTACCATATTCATTTCTCTGTCCTTATCTTACTGCTTGTAACTTGAGCTTGAGAGAGGCAAAGAGAGATAGATTTGAACTCAATCCAGAAAACTGGATATATGTTTAAGATAAAAGGACATTATCTCATATAATTACTCTTTTATGTACATTTGGCCCTTCTATCATTCAGACTTCAATATTTCTGCTGGAAAACAGAGTTTAAAAATGGAAATCGTGGATTAGATGCCACGAGGACGAGAAGAATCCACCAGAGAACCCTGAAAGCATATCAAATTTAGAAGCCTGGTGGCTTTTAGGCAATGAAACTGATGCATTGCCCTTGTCTCTTGTTGTCGAATCCAATGATTCTGATGAATGCATTGGGGTAAGCTTTCTTGGCGCCCTCAAGCTTCTTCAAGACTTGTGCTGCATCAGTTCAGCCAAACATGGCCTGCTTCCACATTGTCCAGCAGCGGCCATCATAGTACCCAGGGGATCTGTGGTTCTCACGGTAAACAAATCCGTGCTGCAATAAATCAAAATTACATAGTTAATTAGCCTTAGCTCAAACTAAATAAAATGCATGGCAATCATGAGAATGTACGTGAGCAGAAACATCAAAGTTCACCTCCAATTCAAATTCCGAGCAAGGAATCCAATTCTGCGAAGAAGGTAATCAACTCCTTTGCCACCTGTTCTGGAGTGAGATCAGGGAGGTAAGACAGTCTCAAAGTTCTTCTTTCCAAGCGGAGGCCACACCTGCACTCACCATAATACTATGAAGATTCAGAAACTTGCAATTTCTAATGAACAATCTTAATTGGCTATTAATGACTTTATTATGTGCTATTCCTATAATCAAAGTCTCCTATGTACCTGTGTACACTGGACTTGAAAAGTTTCATAAAAAATATAATGAAAGTCTTGTAGGTCAGATCTTGGACAAGAAAGGAGGCTCATTTCAAACCAGTTAAAGAGATTAGGCAAAGAAAATGAAGAAGACTTGCTTGTATTGTCACATAAAGTCCCATATCAACTTACAATATAAAAGCAATAGATAAAATATTAAAAATAAGGAAAAGCAGCTTAACAAAAAGTGCAACACCACTAAGATTGTCAGTTGTCCTTTGCTGCAATTGTGTTAAGGCTAACACATTGCTTGCCTGAAAAGCTAAATAGCAAAAAAAGTTGAAATAAGCAAAAAGTTAAATAACTATGTAAGTATCCAAATTTGATATCTTCACTCTCAGTAGAGTATTAAACTAGAGACTATCCTTCAACACACGTCCATAGGATTTGCAGTCAATACTCCCAATTTAGACCCCAACTCTTCAAATTTGTCCTTGCTTAGGCCCTTAGTCAGTATGTTAGCAACTTGTTCATGAGTATTGCAATAATTAACTGAGATTTCTCCACTTTTCTCAGCCTTTTTGATTGCATGAAACTTGTCCCTTATATGTTTTGTTCTACCATGTTGAACGGGGTTTTTAGAAATTGCTATAGCTAATTGGTTGTCGATCTAAAGAGTTGTTCCAGCAGTTTGCTCAAACTTCAGATCAGACAAAATTTTTCTAAGCGACAGGGCATGGTTTGCAGCTGAAGCTGCTGTAACATACTCAGCCTCGGCAGATGATTGAGCAACTATATCTTGTTTTTTTGAATTCCAAGTAAACATGGCACTACTAAATGAAAAGTAGAAGCCACTGGTGCTACGTGAGTCATCAAGATTGCCAGCCCAATCACTGTCACAATATCTAGTTAATTCCGTTCCTTCATGCTTGCTAAACTTATGACCATATTCCAGTGTTCCTTTTACATACCTCCGAATGCGTTTAGTAGCAACCAAATGAAGTGATGAAGAAGATTGCATAAAGCCTGACAGCAAGCTTATAGCAAACATAATGTCAAGCCTTGTTGCAGACAAATATAAAAGACACCCAATCAATTTTTTGTAATTGGCTGCATCAATATTGGCACCTCCATCTTCCTTACATGGTTTGTAATCAGTTGTGAGAGGAATTGGAGTAGATTTGCAATTTTCCATATTGAATTTCTTCAGCAATTCTCAAGCATATTTTTGTTGATGGAGAAATATGCAATCTATTTTTTGCTGCACCTGTAACCCTAAGAAATATGACATTTCTCCCAAATCATTCATTTCAAACTCAGTTTGCATCTTACTCTTAAAATCATTCATGAGTTCACCATCGGGTCCAGTAATGAGGAGATCATCAACATACAAAGATACAATAAGCTGCACTACATTTTCAAAGCTGCTCACATATAAGGTTAGCTCATTCTCACTTTTGTTAAAACCATTGCTAACCAGATATCCATCGATTTTCTCATACCAGGCTCGAAGAGCTTGTTTAAGGCCATAAAGAGCCTTAAGCAATTTGCACACTTTGTTTTTCATTACTTTTCTCTTGGAAACCTTCTGGTTGCTCAACAAAAATGTCCTCTTTTATCACACCATTAAGAAATGCCGATTTAACATCAAAATGCCAAACTCTCCATCCTTTCTTGGCAGCTAGAGCAACCAGCAATTTTATAGTGTCATGACGAGCGACAGGAGCCAAAGTTTCAAAAAAATCAACATCTTGAACTTGAGAAAAACCTTTGACTACTAACCTGGCTTTCAATTTGTTTTCTGATCCATCTCCATTCAACTTGGTTTTCAAAATCCACTTGACACTTATGACTTTTTGATTTTTTGGCCTTTCAACAAGAACCCAAGTCTGATTCTTCTTAATCATTTCCATTTCTACTTCCATGGCTTTCCTCCATTTGTCATCTGATGTAGCCTCATCATAGGTGTTTGGCTCCACAATTGCAACATTGCAGCAATCATATATTTCTTGGAGAGAACGTGTTCCACGAACAGCCATATCATCAATACTTTCATCACTATTTTGATTCACATCTTTCTTAGGCAGATTGTAACTTGCAATTGCATCATTATTTTCAATATTTTCCACTTCAAACTTGTCCCAATTCCAGCACATGTTCTCATCACATCTTGATTGGTGAAAACTTTCTTGTCTGTGATACTATAAAGGCGATATCCCTTAGAGGTATCATTGTATCCAAGATGAATCGATACTTGTGATTTAGAGTCAAGCGTGGTTCTCTTAACTTGAGGAATTTGTGCATAGGCAATGCACCTAAACACTCTCAAATGAGCAATAGATGGCTTAGAGTTAGGTAATGCCTAGAAGACTTTAGGTAATTTTTGGTCAAATAAAAGACATCTTGTCATTTACAAGAGAGTTCGATTTTTCCTCTCGCATATGCCATTTTGCTAGGGACTATAAGGGACAGTTAATTGATGCCTTATCCCTTCAAGTGACAGAAAATTCTTAAACTCATTAGAGACATATTCTAAGCCATTATCTATCCTAAGTGCCTTAATATTTTTATCAGTTTGATTCTCAACCAAAGCCACAAACTTAAGAAAACAACTGAAAACTTCAGACTTACTTTTCAAGAAATAAATCCAACAAAATCTACTATAGTCATCTATGAAGGTTACATAGAACTTACT